CCAATTTCACTAGTTTTTCTACTAGTGTCCTTGTTCTGCCCAGAGTTCCAGTCCAGTGAAGACAGACAACCTTGGCTGAGTAGGAACAGAAATTAAGGGACTCTTGCTTCATGGTGTCTTTTTCTGAGTGAATCAGGGTGGTTTGTCACTGGCAGAGAGAGGGAGGAGAGAGGGTGCAGTGGGGCTGGAGCAGCCGGAAAAGCTGCTCACTGGGGTTGAGTTATCTGACCATGGAGGAAGCCCAAGCTGAGATGGGAGTTCGTCTCTTTGTCATGGTGGCAATTCATGCAGTTTGGTAAGATTAACTGAAGCAGGAGCCTGTCGGGGCAGGTGGAAGAAGTATCAGAGCCCAGAGGGGCATGAGAGCTTGGGAGGACAGGGAAGGAGGGGGGAGGACGGGGACTATAGCGATTGAGTAGGAAAGGCCAACAGACAAGCTAGGGTCAGATAAGGCAATTCCATTGGGGTTGGCTAGTCAAAATCATTTTCTTTAAAAAAAAAAAAAAAGATAAGGCAATTCCAGAGATGGGGGTTTCACATGGAACTGGTCGATGCCTGCAGAGCAGCTAGGTAAATTATGTGGCCAGGATGTGTTTAGGGCAGAAAGGTCAGAAACCTTGAGGTTCGGATGCTGAGTAGGCCCCCAGGTGATGCAGGGACTGGGAAAGAGGGACACTTTGCGCCAGGTGTAAAGTCTGGATCTTAGGGAGTGAAGAGGGCAGAGCTGCAGCCTTGCGCAACCCTTAGTTTATGACACAAACCCCCTGGCCTACGTGCGTGGACTGTGCCTCCGTTCTCCACGGTGGCTGGAAGGAGAATCCTGGGGGTGGGCTCTGCACAGCGCAAAGCTGCATTCAGTCATTAAGAACTAAATTAAACTTTAAGAAACAAGTCCAAAGGCTGGGCCCAGAACAAACCTGTCTTCGACTGCATTGCCAGTTGTCAGTTATATCAGAAGATGTGCCCGTGGTCCCTGACCGTTTCAGGTATACAAAGCAGATCCATACAGCAAACAGGAATTCAGAGCTCTTGGCAAGGCAGTGTGATGTGTTAGTTATCTGGGCAATGTATCTGTTACTAATATTGGAAGCACTCTGGAAATCCAGTTTTTTGGTATTTTTTTAGTATTTAGTATCCTGATTTTTAAATGTTGGGCCAAAAAATGGCACATCTGTGAGCAGGGTTCATTGATTTGTGGTGCTGAGTCACTGTAGGGCACACACAGATGGCTGGTCCTCAGGGCTGGATCTGAGACCCAGCCACGAGGCGTGGGTATCCAAGGAAAAGGATGTCTTCAGGAATTCCCAGATTCAGTTAAAGCAGAACGGGCCCCCCAGGAGGCTCATTTCCATCTAACCCTTGTCATCCTGCCATCAGCTGCATTTATCCGGGTCGTGGGCTCGGAGTTTGTACAGAAATACCTGGGCGAGGGTCCCCGCATGGTCCGCGATGTGTTCCGCCTGGCCAAGGAGAATGCCCCTGCCATCATCTTCATTGACGAGATTGACGCCATCGCCACCAAGAGATTTGATGCCCAGACGGGGGGTGAGTGATGCCCAAACAGGGCCTGGGGTCTTGGGCAGGCTTGTCACATGGGATGCCCTGGACTGACTGTGCTGCGCATCCTCCAGCTGACAGGGAGGTTCAGAGAATCCTGCTGGAGCTGCTGAATCAAATGGATGGATTTGACCAGAACGTCAATGTCAAGGTTCGGGGTTCTGGATGGGCAAGGGGAGGTGGAGTCTAGGAATCAGGGAAAGGTGGGGGCTGGCATGTGAGGGGTGGATATCATGACAAGAGGAGGAGGTGGAGGTAGGGGGGACAGAAGTCTGAGCTGGCCTGCCCCCACTGCCAGGTGATCATGGCCACAAATAGAGCAGACACCCTGGATCCAGCCCTGCTGCGGCCAGGACGCCTCGACCGTAAAATTGAATTTCCCCTTCCTGATCGTCGCCAGAAAAGATTGATTTTTTCCACTATCACCAGCAAGATGAACCTCTCTGAGGAGGTTGACTTGGAAGATTGTATCCTGTTCCCAAGTGATGGAGGGACCACAGTTGGGAATGGGGAATGGATCTTCACCTCCACCTCTGCTGTCACCACAGCCCAAATTGTACAGATGAGGACCAAGGTCCAGGGAGGAGGGTGGTGACAGAGATGGCAAGGATGTCTTCTGGCTCCAGGCATTCACCCCATCGGGCAGGGAATGGTTTCCTTAACTCACTTGCTGCAGATGTGGCCCGGCCAGATAAGATTTCAGGAGCTGATATCAACTCCATCTGTCAGGAGGTGAGGGATGGTTTCTCTCTTCATCTGGGCAGTGGGGGTGGTAAAAACCCTTCTTCCTCTTCTCTGAGACCACTCTGCTGCAATCCTTTTGTCTCCTATTGCCTCCGGGGTCTTGGGCCCCATCTTTCTCTTCCTCCACCATCACTAGGGGTGGGGAGAACAGTAAATAGATTTTAACTCTTATCCTTCAACAGAGTGGGATGTTGGCCGTCCGCGAGAACCGCTACATTGTCCTGGCCAAGGACTTCGAGAAAGCATACAAGACCGTCATCAAGAAGGACGAGCAAGAGCATGAGTTTTACAAATGACCCCTCCCTTTCCTCCCCCCACACCACTCGGGCTGGGGCTTCTCCCACCTCCCCAGTCCCCCTGACCCAAAACTTAGTGTTCTTTTCTCTTTACCCAGGATTGGTTTATTCAATAAATAGATACAATTCAATCCATTTAATTTCTTTTTTTTTTTTTTTCTTTTTGACCTCCCATTCCATGGGGAAGATTTAATTTCTTTTTAGAAGTTTAAGTCCTTTGGAGAGTCTGGGCCTTGAATCAGATCCTCTAGGTCCCTTCTGATCTCCTGACAGATGAGTGGGGGAGGGACACGGCTTGGGTAGCAGCTCGAGAGAAAAGCAAAGAATTCGAACCAAGTGGCTTCAGAAATTCAGGGAAAGGGATGGAATGAACGTGAGACAGCAGCCCTTAGCCACGGAATAAAGCCCCTGGGCGTCTCCCCAGCCCCGTTTCCTACCAGTAAAAAGCCATTTGGGTTTTCAGCGAGGCTCAGTCAGTCCCGCAACCCTCACAGTGACACACACGCTCGAACAGCCAGGTACACCTATTTAAAATACACATATTGAGCCCCTTTTGTATACCAAACGCTGAGACTCTCTCAAAGAAAGAAACAGACCAAATTCCGCCTTGCGGAGATGGCGCCCGACGGCTCACGCACTCAGCTCGGGGTCGCGCCCGCGGATGTACTTGAAGGTTGGACACTTCAGGCTGCCTGGCGACGCTTGACTAGCCCAGACAGCTCGCGGGGTGTGGGTTCCCTTCCGCGTTTCCGCGCCAGCTCGTGGGCTGTGGCCCGGAGCCGCGAGATGCGCGCGCCTGCGCCCGAGCGAACCAGCATCCGGCAACGGACTACATTTCCCAGAAGCCCCACGGGCAGAGTCAGCCTGGACCCGAGGGTCTCTTCCGGTGCGTTCTCGCTGGTTCAGCCACGCGGGGCGAGTTAGTTGCAGCCACGTGAGAAGTCGGATCTAGGTGAGAGGGAGCGGGACTCGTGGGGGTAGCGTTGGGAATGAGGCTGCCGCCCAAAGTGAGGAGCACCGGGGAGCGGACATGGCGTGTCGTGCCCGGAGGGAGCCTCGGGCCTGTGAGTGCGTGAGGAGCAGAGGAGGGGGATTGGGTGACCAAGTGTGACAGACTGTGTATGTGTGTGTACGCGCGCGACCGTGCGCCTGTCAGGGCCAGGTTGGGCCTTTGTGACGGTGTGTGCGGGTGTGAGGCTGAGACTCGTGCCTGACTCTTTGGTATGTGTCGCTGACCCTCTCCCCTCACGGCCCCTGATATCTGCACAAAGCAGTGTCCCCAAGGGGAAAGTAAAATATTGAGCTCTAGGATGAAGGTTCCCCGCAAGAAGGCACAGACCTGTTTGAGAATGGCCTTTCGAGTAGAAATGTCCCTGAAACAGAATCCTGGAACGACATGATGGAAGGGTCCCCACTTGGAGCCGCTGTGTGGCAGTCACATTTTTCAGAGCCACATCATTCCCATCTGATCCTAGAAATCCGCTGTGAATTCAGAGACAGATTCCAGCCTCCCTCCCACATCTGGTTATGTGTGTGACGTCAGGGCAGAAGGGGCCCTGGCGGGGATTTTCTAGGTCGCCCTGTGCTGTAAGAAAGGCCTACTGTCTCATTATTCCTTCTTCCCCAATCCTGCCATTCATCAAAAGAAGGATCGATCCTGAAGAGGAGGGAAAAATCGTGTAGCACGTCTGAAAGTCCACAGCCAGGTGAATTTATGTTTCCTCTTTGTTCATAAAATGCATTTTTGTTCTTACTACATGGAAACATTTGCTTTTCTTTTTCTGAAATGTCCAGTGACCTATCCTAGGCCTTCCTTTCCAGGGAATGATGGACCATGCAGATGGATCCTTCTCTTCCCCGGCTTCCAAATGCCCTTCTCCTCTGTTCAAATAATTCCTCTGCAGTTGTGTTTTATAATGGTAGAGAAATGCATATCCTGGAGTCTAAAATTAAAACTTTATTTTATTGAGATTAATGTTTAGGTAGAATCACATCATTGATCTTCTCCAAAGACCTCAGTTTAAAAGTACAACAGGATCAGAGATGGTTTGGCTGGTGTCAGTAAGTGATAATGATCATCTGCTTTGGAAGGATTTTAGGGTTAGGAATGTGATTAGAAGTCTGAGGATAGAAATCTGTATGAATATGAACAGGGTTTTTCCCAGGGAATCAATGAGTTGAGATTTATGTTTATAAAGAGTTAGTCATAAGGAAAAAAAAAAGTACATACAGGCCGGGTGCAGTGGCTCACGCCTGTAATCCTAGCTCTCTGGGAGGCTGAGGCGGGCGGATTGTTTGAGCTCAGGAGTTCGAGACCAGCCCGAGCAAGAGTGAGACCCCGTCTCTACTAAAATTAGAAAGAAATTAATCGGACAACTAAAAATACATAGAAAAAATTAGCCGGGCATGGTGGCGCATGCCTGTAGTCCCAGCTACTCGGGAGGCTGAGGCAGGAGGATTGCTTGAGCCCAGGAGTTTGAGGTTGCTGTGAGCTAGGCTGACGCCACAGCACTCTAGCCCGGGCAACACAGTGAGACTCTGTCTCAAAAAAAAAAAAAAAAAAAAATACATACGAGGAAAGTCAAATATTGAGCTGTAGGATGAAGGTTCCCAGCAAGAAGTTATGAGGTAAAGTAATAGAGTGATGAACAATAATATTCAAATTTTAAATTTTATACAAATCTCATTTACTAACATTGGAATTTAAATACATTTAACAAGGATTAGATCCAAAATGATACTTCAGGGAATAGAGGAGAACCAAACACTGTTCTGTCTGCTTTGCACAAATTTTCTTTCTTATTCAGACTGCAGGTGCTGCTCGCCTAACCTGTGTTCAGAGAAGAATCTTAATAGTGAAAAGGTCTTGTTGAATTGAAGAAGAATTCATGTTCAAGAACTGGTAGGCATTATTTATAATGGTAGGCATTATTTATAATGATTTCCTTACTGTCTCCCCACATGTCAACCCAATTTGCTTCAACATGTTAAAAAATTTTATTTTACAATTGGGTTTAGATTTATTGTATACTTCTGATTATGGAATTAATGCTCACTTTTTATAAACAATTCAGTTATTCAGTTATATTACATAAGGGACTTATAAGGAAGAAAGGTAAAATAGCCCCAGTATCACTGTTAATATTTTGGGGAGGTATATTTCAGCAAAATTTTTCCTGTGTGTGTGTGTGTGTGTGTGTGCTTTTCTTCCTGCAGAATAGAAATTGCACTAATTGATCATTGAAAGGACACAGAAACTCTCTCTTGCTATTTTTAGTGAATTACCCATACTCGGGTTTCACTCAAAGAAATCCTGGGCTTCAGAGGCAAATACCAGAGTTGAAAGAGAATTGGCTTTATATTTAGAGAAATGTTGATTCAAAACACAGCTCTGACTCTTGGTAACTGTGAATTGGGGCAAGGAACTTTATTCTGAGCCTCCATTACCTCATCTGTTGAATGGAAATAACTACATCGCATGATTAAATGTTAACATGATAAAGGGATCTTCATGTGGAATATCCTAAAAATATTTATTTTTGTTGTTGTCATGGGCAACCATGACATAAATTAGCAACCACGGACATAAATTCGCACCTCCCAGCCTTGATATTGAGATACTGGGGTGGTCAGTGACTTCATGCAGGAAAGAGTTTAGATGATCCTGATTAGGAAATAGAGGTTGGCTGGATACAGAGGATTCTGGGGGCTGTGGTTCTGGCAAGTGCAGTTTTGCGGTGGGAAAGGCTGCCTGCTGTTTTCTGCCTTCGTGTCTGCAGAGTGTAGGCATATTCCTAAGCCATGAATGATGTTCGGGTTGGATGGGGCAGCCACTTCTCAGCCTTAAAGTGGGCATGGACGGAAGAGGATCTGCTCAGGGCAGGACTTGACAATTTAGTCTCAGCCATAGATCAGCATCAGCATCATCAGAAGCTGGAGTGGTCCAGAAACCTGTCTGCTGGAGTGCCTGGTCTGGCTCCATGCAGGAGGCCTCTGCTCTGTATCTACACTTGCACAGGTGGTTCCCCATGGTATAGGAAGGGCTTGGCTTTATCCAGACTCCCTGTTGTCTCCCCCAACTTGTATGGGGTTGTAAGTAGAAATGAACTAAAAACAGGATCATAGTAACTTAAGTCATTTTGGGAATTCTGAGACACACCTGATCTCAAAGTCACTTGTTCCTCCCCCAGCCCTGGCTTCTCTGGACTCTATACTTCTCCAATTGAGGAAGCCCAAGGAGAACTGACAAGTTCATACAGTTCTAAAACCATGGCCCAGGTAAGTTGGTAATTTTATTATTTGAAATACTGTGTTTTTAAATTCATGGGATCATTTTTATTATCCTGATCCTTCCTTCCTAAGACAACCCTGTTGGTGAACCTGCTTTCCAGTTGCTCCAATCACACTGAAGGTTGCTGCCAAACAGCCTAGTGTCCTCCACATTTGCCCCTCTTTTCTCTTACTTGTGTTGACCTATTCATTTTTCATCTATCTGCCTCATCGTCTCTCAGGAGCATTGATCAAGCAGTGAAAGATGAAGTACTTCAAGGGAAATATTTGAGCTTCCACCATCAGAGTCATGTTTCTATGGCGTAGAGATAGTAGTCCCATTAGACTCCACAGACCTGAGCTTTGAGGGTGATGGGATGGAAATTAGTGTTGAGTGCTTTGCCATCCCAGATGACTCAAACACTCTCTTCCATGTCAGCCCCAGAAGAAGAGGTGAGATCTCATGCATTGAGAGGCTTAGAGGACCAGGTTGGAGTGTGGTTGGGCCTCTATCTGGAGTTTTCAGGGATCTAGCCAGGGGATCCTTGAGGGATGAACAATAGGACAAAATTCAGTTTTGTGGTTGAGGTGGTTAACATCAGTGTCATTGTGGATCATTCTACATCAGTGTCTTCTAGCTTAGGAATAAGGCAAGTGTTCCTGAAGGACAGTGGGGGCAGTAGGTAGGAAGATCCTCCAGATCCCTAGTGATGGATAAAAATAGGCCCCCAGGATTGGGGAAGACCTTAAACCTTCTGTCCCACCTAAATGCCTAAGCATAAAAGGATTAGTCTGCTATATCCACAAGATAGATGTTATCTTGCGTGGTATGAAACCTGAGTTTCAATGAAATCCCATAGAAATTTTAGAGTACTTTTGGGGGAAAAATTCTTTTTTAAAAAATATTCCTTGAAGAGAGGATGATGGAACTCACATTTACGCAGAATTTAAAATGCAGGCACATAATAGGCAGTGTGCTTATTTATGCTATTTCATTTAATTTGCATCAAAAGCATCTAAATACTAGTTTCCCTATTCTTCCATACATGTTGCAGGCTTGAACCTCACTTTACTTTCTGCTTTCCTGCAAAGCCGTTTTCCATCTTGAAAATACATTAAATTTTTTTTTTTTTTATAATACATACGTTTGTCATTTCAGGTGTACTTGGCTTTCAGGGATGTGGCCATAGACCTTTCCCAAGAGGAGTGGGAGTGCCTGGACCCTGTGCAGAGGGACTTGTATAAGGATGTGATGTTGGAGAACTACAGCAACCTGGTGTCACTGGGTGAGGTATCTGCCCAAACGCTTGACAGGCTGTTTTCTGGAATATCAGCTTTCTCCACTGTTGAGTTTCAGAACTCTGTTTTAAGAAGCCAGCTGAATTTCTGCACCCTGTTTCTAAATAAATAGTTCAGACATTGTTAGGCTGGAAATTGTTACGTGCACCTTCCCTTTCCCCATCCCTTCGCTTTTCCCTCTGGCCTGCGACTGCCTGTTTTTCTAAATGATTCTCGGTTTTGAGTAGTGCAACATTTTCAGAGAAACTAGATTTCTGGTAATGTGTATACTCAGAATTCCTACAGCTGCTCTGTGTTGATGTTGGGCTTACCTGCAAGAGAATAGCTAGTCTCAGGGTTCTGGTTTTCTTTGACTATCAAAAGAGCCTCTACGGTTTACATAGTGGTGGATTGGGTTAACAAATATTCATTTAAAATTCAAGCAGACACACCTCGTTCTAGAAGAGACATATTCTCTTGAACTTGCTTTGTGGTTGAAAGTTACGGTCTGCGAATTTGGCATTTTCCGTTGAAGGAATATCTAAGGAAAAACCTGGAAGTATTTTAGGAAACTTAGATTTCTCCTAGCAAAATAGTAACATCTACAACAAAATAATACTATATACTAGGCATCCTTTTAAGCCTTTGCATATATTAATTCATTTAATTCTCACAATAACCCTATGACATAGATAGTATTAGTCCCATTTTGCATTTGATAAAAGTGCAACAACATATGGAGGGTAAGTAACTTTTCAAAGTCACACAGCTGGTAGGTGGCAGAAGATTTGAACCCAGGCCACAGGGCTTCAGAGTATGCGCTTGCAACCCCTCTCGACACTGCCTTTGAAAGCAGAGCAAACCTTTTCCCTCTCTTACCTCATGTCTTTAGTCCTGTAATCGTGAGTCTACCTTAGTGTGAACATTCTTCAGTGGCTTTCTTCTTTACTGTGAAGGCTTTATTAAGTACCGTTTTGACCTACAGTTTATTATAAATGTTACCAAGTCCGAATTAAGTCATTTTGAGGTTATGTTTGTTTTGGGTGCGTTTTGGTTTTTTTCTATAACGTGTCATATTTTTTCTCATGAGCAGGATGTGCCATTCCTAAGCCAGATGTGATTACTTTATTGGAGCAAGAGAAAGAGCCCTGGGTGGTAATCAGGGAAGGGACAAGGAATTGGTACCCAGGTGAGTGACAGCAAATCAGGCAGGGGAATGCCATCACAAGTTACGGTCGACTCGGTCAGGGAAGAAGCACATCCTGAGTTGTTTGGAAAGCTCCCTTCAAAGGCCCAAGGCCTGTGAGGAAAGGGCTGAAACCAGGGAAACATTAAGATTCTCTCAACGTGATCTACCAAGGGAACTTTACCCCCATTTGTCTGTTTCTCTGCTCTTATATTTCCCTCCCATTTCAAAGAAGAGTTGCTTTGTTTCTTCCCCTTTGACAACCATCTTACCTATATTTCCAGGTCCTCTTTTACATTTAGATTTACATTCATTTCTCCATTGCCCAAAATTATTTAATCCAACAAATATTTTCTATTTACCTAACCTAAGCCAGGCACTGTGCTATAGTCTAGGCACTATTAGTATACATTCCTATTGTCATAGAGATGTTGATATCATAGTAGGGGAAGCATGTAGTAAATAAGTAAACAGATAATATTAGGTGTTGATATGTGTTGTAATGAAAATTAGGTAGGGTAAGGAGATAGAATGCTAGGGAGTTAGTAGGGCTAGCTTAGATAAGACCAGGAAAGGCCATTCTCAGGTGATGAGGTATGGCATATTATAGGATCTGAAAGGGTGCCTTGTGGTAGAAGATTGAGAACAAAGAGGACAGTACCTTGCACAGATCTTATAGACAAACAAGTGCTCTTTGGATTTGGTAATGTTTGGATTTTATTCTAAGGAGAAAGAGAAACTTTTGGGAAGAGAATTAGGTACAGATTCTCAATGATCTGCATCAAAATTATCTGATGAAAATGCTTAAAAATACACATATCTAAGACTTGTTCCTATAGATTTTGATTCAGTTTGTGTGAGTTGGTGCCTATATTTGATTTGGAGCAGTATATGTAAGAAACTTCCCTAAATCCATCCTAAATAGGAAGACCACTGATTTAACCTATTCCCCTCCTCACCTGTTGTACCCTTTTTAAAAGTCACTTCATTTTCTGATGTCTTTTCACCTTCTTTCCAATTTCATTACAATAATTTAGAGTTCTCCAAGCCAACAGCCAGCAAACTACACCCCATGGGCCAAATAGCTCACTGCCTGTGTTTACACGGCTTATGAGTTTTTACATTTTTAAATGGTTGGAAAAAATCAAAAGTAGAAGAATATTTTGTGTCATGTAAAAATTTTTTGAAATTCCAATTTGAGTATACATAAATAAAATGTTATAGCAGCCATGCTCATTCAATTGCATATTGTCTGTGGCTGCCTTTGTGCCCTAACAGCAGAGCTAAGTAATTGTGACAGAGATATATGCTTCACAAGGCCTAAAATATTTACTATCTGGTCATTTACAGAAAAGGTTTCTTGAGTCCTGCTCTAAACCGTTTACTTCTAATGTGTGTTATTTCAGTTTATCTTCTATTTCTACTATAAGGTACAACCTCCACATCCCACAGGAAAATATATTACAGCATTTGTTTGCTTTTTGCTTTTTGTTTTTTTTATTTTGCAGATTTGGAGGGCAAGTATGTCACCAAGAATTTATTTCCAGAAAAGGATGTATATGAAATATATTTATCTCAATTGCAGACAGTGGAAAAAAGTAAAGCTTACATCCATGAAGACACCATTTTCAGAAATGATTTGCAGGACAAACATGAATTTGAGAGACAAGAGGGACATCAGATGGGATGCGTTAGTGAAATGATAATCCAAAAACCAATATCTCTTCCTCTACATCAGAAAATTCATACTAGAGAGAAATCATATGATTGTAAGGAATGTAAGAAGGCCTTCAGACAAAAGTCATACCTTACTCAACATCTGAGAATTCACACTGGTGAGAGACCCTATAAATGTGTGGAATGTGGAAAGGCCTTTTGTCGAATGGGAGATCTGAGAGTACATCAGACAATCCATGCTGGGGAGAGACCCTATGAATGTAAAGAATGTGGGAAGGCCTTCAGGCTTCATTATCACCTTACTGAACATCAAAGAATACATTCTGGTGTAAAACCCTATGAGTGTAAGGAATGTGGGAAAGCCTTTAGTCGAGTTAGAGACCTTAGAGTACATCAGACAATTCATGCTGGGGAGAGACCTTATGAATGTAAAGAATGTGGGAAGGCCTTTAGACTTCATTATCAGCTTACTGAACATCGAAGAATTCATACTGGTGAGAGGCCTTATGAATGCAAGATTTGTGGAAAAACCTTTAGGGTACAGCGACATGTTAGTCAACATCAGAAAGTTCATACTGGTGTAAAACCCTATAAATGTAATGAATGTGGAAAGGCCTTTAGTCATGGCTCGTACCTTGTTCAACATCAGAAAATCCATACCGGTGAGAAACCCTATGAATGTAAAGAATGTGGTAAGTCCTTTACTTTTCATGCAGAACTTACTCGACATCATAGAATTCATACTGGTGAGAAGCCCTATGAATGTAAAGAATGTGGAAAAACCTTTTGTCTTCAAACAGAACTTACTCGGCATCATAGAACTCATACTGGTGAGAAACCCTATGAATGTAAGGAATGTGGGAAGGCCTTTATTTGCGGCTATCACCTTACTTTACATCTGAGAACTCATACCAGTGAGATTCCCTATGAATGTAAGGAATGTGGGAAAACCTTCAGTAGTCACTATCATCTTACTCAACACTACAGAATTCATACTGGTGAGAAACCCTACGTATGTCACGACTGTGGGAAAGCCTTTCGTCTTCAAGCAGAACTTACCCGACATCACAGAATTCATACTTGTGAGAAACCCTATGAATGTAAGGAATGTGGTAAGTCCTTTACTTTTCATGCAGAACTTACTCGACATCACAGAATTCATACTTGTGAGAAACCCTATGAATGTAAGGAATGTGGGAAGGCTTTTATTCATAGCAATCAACTTATTACACACCAGCGAATTCATACCAATGAGAATACCTATGAATGTAAAGAATGTGGGAAG